GCCCCCTGTAGCCCCACCCACCGCCCTGTCCAGCCCGGAGCCCCGCCCCCTGTGGCCCCGCCCCAGCCCCCTCACCTGGCCCACCGTGGGCTCCTGCTCGCCCAGGCCCACGATGAGGATGCAGTCGGCCTGCCGGATGCAGCGCTGCGTCCAGGGCGTCAGAGTGCTGTCTGCTTGGTAGAGGACGATCCGGTGGATGTCCTCCTGCTGCCCCAGCCAGCTGGACAGCCGGTACTCGTGGACACTGGAGTTCACAGAGAGGCCCAATGCCCCTTAGCAGGGCCTGCCGGGCAGAGTCCTCAGAGCCAAGAGCTCGGCCTGGCTGGTACTGAGACCAGGGGGCAGAAACTGCCCAGGTGATGAGGAGGAGGCTAGGGCCTGGGAGGGGCAGGGACACTCCTGAAGGTCCCCTGGGGACCAAGAAGTTAGTCACCCACAGCCTGTACACGTAGGAAGCAGGCTGTCTTTGTCAGCTGGGTCATTATTACCCTTACACCTCTGGGGCCCGAACGTGGGCCGAGCTGACCTGTGTGCCTCTGAGGGGCTGCAGGGCTCTGGGCACCAGGGGCCAGGGCCTTATTTGTGGCCCCACACGTACGGAACAGTTCGCTGCCAAGTGCTGGGCAGCACCCCTGTAGTTCCCCATCTTCTCCCCTGCCCCACGGTCACCCCACCGCCCACCATCTACCTGTCCCCCACCATCCCCTTTCTTCCCATGGTCCCTCACTGGACCCCATTCCCCACCCCATGTGTCAGCCAGGCATGTGGACGAGGAGGCTGCACCGTAAGGCCTGGTGACAGCAGGGCCCGTGGAGGCCGCATACCTGTCCAGAGCGGCAGAGCCGAGGCGCTGTTTTATGTTGTCACTGGTCAGCAGCAGGGCGGGGCCTGAGAACACATCCACCAGTCACAGGTGCCCTGTGCTGGGCAGCCCAACCTTCCGGACGGCCAGGCCCATCCACAGGGCTGTGGGTGGGGCACAGGCACGGCACTGTTCGCTCCATCCGGCTCTCCACATCCCCTTTCGTGGGAACGAGCCTGGCCCAAGCCTGCTACCCAGCCCTGCTCCCAGGTGGGAGTGGCTGGTGGGCACCTATGGGGCTGCTAGGCAGGGGGGGAGGGGGAGGCACCTGTGTGTCACTACAGAGCCAACCCCTGCAGCAACAGAGCCAGGTGTATTGGCGAGGAGGCTCATGAGGTGCTGGGCCGTGTGATTCCCCAAATCCAGACAGGGAGCTGGCCTGGCTCAGGACGCAGCTCCGCTCTGCAGGCTAGGGCGCGCCAGGACTGAGACAGCCCAGAGATGGCCAGCTGCCTTTGAGAGGCTGCTCACCGGTGGCCACAGCAGAGGAGCGTGGGGTGTGGGGTGCCAAGCCTGCAGTGGGAGGGAGGAGTCAAGGTCCACCCGGGGGGTGGCACGGATGGCAGCGCTCCTGAGGGTTCTTGTTCATGTGCGCACAGGCAGGCATAATAATTCTAGAAGAGCTTCCCAAGGGCATTACGATTGAAGCTGGGACAGAAGAAATCATCATACGGCATGTTAACTGGCAGCATTTTTCTTCTTTAAGACCCAAAACCCATTGCTGTTGAGTTGATTCTGACTCATAGCACCCCACAGGGTTTCCCAGGCTGTAAATCTTTACAAAAGCAGACTGCCACATCTTTCTCCCCTGGAGCTACTGGCGGTTTCTAACTGCCAATCTTTTGGTTAGCAGTTGAGTGCTTTAATCACTGCGCCACCAGGGCTCCTTAGAGGCACATAAAATGAGGGAAGCTCTCGCGGGAACGGGCCAAGTGATCTTCAAACAGGTGCCCATGCGGCTCTGATGTAACCTGCAGAAGCCCATTGACACCACGGCTCAGTGGGAAGGTGGCTGGTCCCCGGTCCCTCCAGAGAAAGCTCGGTGCTCCACTTGGGGGGTGTGGGGAGCCAGGGACTGGCGTGACTGTCAGAGGCCTCTGCCTCAGTCATCCGCACACAAGTGGCCCCTGAGGACAGGCCAAGAGGCCATGCTGGGCTGGATTCCCTCCTCCTGCACGCCGTGTGAGCCAGGAGGACCAGGTGATCTTCTGTCCACCCAGGGGCTTCCTTGTTGTCGGGCTGGAGGCCACCAGGAGAAGGTGGGCAAACAGTGAGGTGCCTGGGAGCTCCAGGACCTCGGCTAGGCCCCCCTGCGCTAGTGTACACCCCCTGCCCTAGGCCTCCATGACCGGACACAGGAAGGCATTCTGGGAGGGTGGCATATGGGCCTTGCTCACGTGGGTTCTAACTCCTGCCAAGTGAGGCCACGGTGGCCGTACCCCCTCCTGGAAGGACTTCGCCTCTCCACCTTCTTAGGTGCACATGGCTCTGTAGGAGGCACGCACAGTCCTTTTTCCAGAAGAGCAGGATGGTGGCAGACCCGGGGACGAGAGGACAAGGCTCTGCCCCTTGCTGGAGTCCAGGGTGAACCCATGGTGCTGCGTCTCCAGCTCCACTAACACGGCCAGCCGGGCAGCCAAACAGCTTCCTCCCCAACTCTGAAAGCCAAAGGAAAATGCACGGTGCCTTCAAAGTGCTGGAAGAAAAGGACTGTCCACCGAGAACTCTTCCCTCAGCACAGACACCCTTCACAAGCCACTGGATTTACGGTGAAGGTGATGCAGAGGGCTAGGTCAAAGGCTGGTCTTCTTAAGTGAGGGTCTGGGCCAGCAGAATCTCTCTTACTGTCGTCATTAGTCACCACAGAGGCGGTGACCCCACATACAACGAAAGGAAACGATGCCCAGTCCTGTGCCGTCTTCATGATCTTTGACACGTTTGAACCCACTGTTGAGACTATTCTGTCAGCCCATCCTTTGAGGGTTTCCCTCGTTGTTGTTGGCCCACCACTTTACCAAACACGATATCCTTTTCTAGAGACTAGTCTTTCCTGATGATGTGTCCAAAGTAAGTGAGCAGCAGCTCGCCTGCCATCCTTGCTACTAAGCAGTATTCTGCTGGTAGCTCTTCTAAGACGGCATATTGCTTTTTCCATGGTGTATTCAATAGTCTTTGCCAATACCATAGTTAGGACACATCAATTCTTTGGTCTTCCTTTTTCACTGTCCAGCTTTTGCATTCGTCTGAGGTGACTGAAAAGACCGTGGTTTGGGTCAGGCATACCTTAGTGCAACATCTTTGCTTTTTCAACTTTACAGAAGTCTTTTGCAGCAGATTTGCCCGGTGCAATAAAAACCCTATGGATCACAACAGAATATGTCATACCATAACCAAAAATCAATCCCAGATGGATTATAAAAGTAACTAGAAAGGTAAAACAAAAAAAGCTTTTAAGAGAACATCTTCATGATTTTAGGGAAGGAAGAAATTTCTTCAACAGGACCCAAAAACACTAACCACAAAGGAAATAACTGACGAATTGGTCCACGTTAAAATTAAGAACTTCCATTCATCAAAAGATAGCATTAAAAGAATAAAAACGCAAGCTACAGAGAGGGAAAGACATCTGCAATGTATGTATCCAAACCAGGAATTATGTTCAGAACATACAAAGAACTCCTGCAATGAGTAAGATAAGGCAAAACAGGCAGCCCAATAAGAAGTGGGTGGGTGACCTCAGCAGACATATCACACGAGAGGACATCCAAACAGCCACAGACAGAAGACTTCTTGGTCACTGGGAAACAAATCAAAACCATGATGAGGTATTACTACACTCCACCAGGATGCAGGAAGTGGAAATTGACAACATCAGTGTGGTGAGGGTGGGGACACAAAGACCCCACATGCCGCGGGGACATGAGGGTGGGGGGAGACATGAGGACCCCACATGCCATGGGGACGTAAGAGTTGGGGGCATGAGGACCCCACATGCCGCGAGGACGTGAGGGTGGGGGGGATATGAAGACCCCACATACCACCGGGACATGAGGGTGGGGGGAACACGAGGACCCCACATGCCGTGGGGACGTGAGGGTTGGGGGCATGAGGACCCCACATGCCACGGGTACGTGAGGGTTGGGGGCATGAGGACCCCACATGCCACGGGGACGTGAGGGTTGGGGGCATGAGGACCCTACATGCTATGGGGACATGAGCGGTGGGGACACAAGGACCCCACATGCCACAGTGACATGAGTGTGGAGGGACAAAGGACCCCACATGCTGCATTTTGAGCTGAGATTTGAGCTGCGACCAAGAGACAGAATTTCCATCCACGACAACTGCCTCCACAGCCAAACAGTCACAACGTCTAGGACGCAATCCAGAATTACTCAGCACATGACCAACGGGAAAACGTGATCCATCCTCAAGAGAAGAGATGACCAAAGGAGACCACAGCCAAGAGGACACAGATGTTGGACATACTGAACAACAATTTTAAAGCAGCTATTACAACTGTGGAAACCTTGGTGGCGCAGTAGTTAAGAGCTACATCTGTCTACCAAAAGGTCAGCAGTTCAAACCCACCAGGCTCTCCCTGGAAACTCTAAGGGGCAGTTCTACTCTGTCCTTTAGGGTCGCTATGAGTAGCAATCAACTAAACGGCAACAGGTTTGATTTTTGGTTTATTACAACTGTGCTGACTGAAGCAATTACACTCGTAGTGAATAAAAAGACAGCATATCTCAGCAGAAAAAACAGAAACTATGGACCAAATGGAAATTTTACAACTGAAAACTACAGTACCTGAATTACAATTGCACTGGATGGGTTTAAAAGTAGACTGCAGATGACAGAGGAGTCAGTGAACTTGAAGATTCACCAAAAATAAAAAAGACTGGGGGAAAAAAAAAACCCAAAACCAAAGGGCCCATGGAACAATATCAAGCAGTCTAATATGCATGTACTGACGTCCCAGAAGGAGTACTTGAAAAAATAATGGCTGAAAATGCCCCCAATTTGGTAAAAGACGTAAATACGCAGATTCAAGAACCTCAGCAAATCCCACACGGGATGAATATGAAGAAAACCAAACCCAGGCACATAACAGTCAGGTGGCTGAAGACCAAGACAGAGACAAACCTTGAAAGCAGCCCGAGGGAAAGAGCACATGACTTACAGGGAAACAGTGATCGGAACTGCTGCTAACTTTTCATCAGAAACCAGGAAGAAACTTCAAGAACGAGGGGAGTTTTACCACAACAAATGAAAAAAAAGAAGGAAGGGAAATAGATATCCGTAGATAACAAAAAAGTGAAAGATGAGTCACCAGCAGACCTAAATAAAAACCAAACCCGCTACTATTGAGTCAATTCTGACTCCTGGTGACTCCATGTGTGCAGAGCAGAACTGTGCTCCACAGGGTTTTCAAGGCTGTGCATTTTTGGAAGCAGATCACCAGGTCTTTCTTCTGAGACACCTCAGGGTGGGTTTGAACCACCAATCTTTTGGTTGTAGTCAAGCACGTCAATGTTTGTGGCACTCAGGGCCTCCTGCCCTTCAGGAAATGTTAAGTCTCCCAGCTGAAGGGAAACACAGTTCTTTAGGGAGGAATCAGGAGGGTCAGAAATGTAAATATCCGGGCCAATGGAAAAGACTACTTTCCCCTTAATCGCTTTAAAATATGGACGACTGTGCAAAGTGAAACATACAGCATTAGTGTGTGGGATTTATGATACATGGGATTCAAAAATGGTTGCAGCAGTACATTGACAGAGAACTGCCAGAAATTCAAGCCAGATTCAGAAGAGGACATGGAATGAGTGACATCACTGCTGATGCCAGATGGATCCTGGCTGAAAGCAGAGAATACCAGAAGGATGTTTACCTGTGTTTTATTGACTATGCAAACACATTTGACTGTGTGGATCATAACAAATTATGGATAACATTGTGAAGGATGGGAATTCCAGAACACTTAATCGTGCTCATGAGGAACCTGTACATAGATCATGAGGCAGTCATTTAAACATGAAAAGGGGACGCTGCGTGGTTTAAAGTCAAGAAAAGTGTGCATCAGGGTTGTATCCTTTCACCATACGTATTCAATCTGTATGCTGAGCAAATAATCCAAGAAGCTGAACTATATGAAGAAGAACGGGGCATCAGGATTGGAGGAAGACTCATTAACAACCGGTGGTATGCAGATGACACAACCTTGTCTGCTGAAAGTGAAGAGGACTTGAAGCACTTACTGATGAAAATCAAAGACCACAGCCTTCAGTATGGATTACACCTCAACATAAAGAAAACAAAAATCCTCACAACTGGACCAATAAGCGACATCATGATAAATGGAGAAAATATTGACGTTGTCAAGGATTTAATTTTACTTGGATCCACAATCAACGCCCATGGAAGCAGCAGTCAAGAAATCAAACGACATATTGCATTGGGCAAATCTGCTGCAAAAGACCTCTTTAAAGTGTTAAAAGCAAAGATGTCACTTTGAGGACTAAAGTGCACCTGATTGAAAACACCTGATGCACGCGGACAATGACTAAGAAAGACCAAAGAAGAACTGATGCCTTTGAATTACAGTGTTTGTGAAGAATACTGAATACACCATGGCCGGCCAGAAGAATGAACAAGTCAGTCTTGCAAGAAGTACAGCCAGAGTGCCTTGGAAGCAAAGACGGCGAGACTTGGTATCATGTACTTTGGACACGTTATCAGGAGGGACCAGTCCCTAGAGAAGGACATCATGCTTGGTAAAGTAGAGGGTCAGTGAAAAAAGAGGAAGATCCTCAATGAGATGGATCGACACAGTGGCTGTAACACCGGGCTCAAACACAGCAACAGGTGAGGATGGTACAGGACCGGGCAGTGTTTCCTTCTGTTGTACACAGGGTGACTACGAGTCGGAACTGACTCAACAGCACCTAACAACAATGCCAACATCTGACCCCAGGTCAGACAAATTGTTCACTATCAAGACTTCCATGTCTTTCTCTGCCAGAGAAAACGTAACATTTTCGTACGGCATAGCACGTGTTAGGATATAGAATATATAAGAACTCTCAAAACTCAACCGTAAAAAAATCAAGCAATCCCGTAAGAGAACACGCAAAAGATATGAACAGACCTTTCACCAGAGACGACATACAGACGGCAAATAAGCACATGAAAAGATGTTCAGTATCACTTACTATCAGGGAATGTGAATTAAAATTATCACGAGCCATCACTACACACCTAACAGAACAGCTAAAATAAAAATAATTACAGGAACCAACGCTGGCAATGACACAGAGAATCCAGATCACTTATACGTTGCTGGTGGGAATGTAAAATGGTCCAGCCACTCTGGAAAACAGTTTGGCAGCTTCTCATAAAACTAAGCACATACGCACCATACATACATACACTCTTGGGCATTTGTCCCAGAGAAATGAAAACTTATGTCCACACAAACTTCTTTACATAAATACTCACAGCAGCTTTATTCCTAATAGCCCAAAACTGGAAATACCCCAGACATCTTTCAAGGGGGAGAGGATCCATCCGCACGGGAGCACTCCTGAGCAGTGCAAAGGACAAACCTTGCTCCTGGGCATTATCTGAGCATAGAAAGCCAATCTCCAAAGGCCATGTGCCGCATGATCCCTTTCTATAGTATTCTCGAAATGACAAAATTATAGAGACGAAGCGCACACTAGGGGTTGCTCAGCTGTGCTGGGGTGCGGTGGAGGGACTTTAAAGGGACAGCAGGAGGGAGTGTCTTTTGCAGAAGAACACGGAAGAAAAGCAATTTGCTCAGCTCTGCAGACTGACCGCGGTGGTTACAGAGATCTACACGTGTGATGAGATGGTATAGAACTGCACACACACACATGCACACACACATGCACACACACTCACACGTGCACACCTGCACACACGCACACACATGCACACACGCACGCACGCACACATGCACACACATGCACACGCGCACGCACACACTCGCACGTGCACGCACGCATGCACACGCGCACACACTCGCACGTGCACGCACGCATGCACACACACGCACACTTGCACACACACTCTCACGTGCACGCACAATGCACACACACTCACGTGCACACATTCACACGTGCACGCACACCTGCATACACACTTGCACACACACTCGCACGTGCACGCACAATGCACACACACTCACGTGCACACACTCACATGTGCACACACACTCACACGTGCACGCACACCTGCATACACACTTGCACACACACTCGCACACGCACCTCAGAGCCAGTGAGCCTGGAGAAGGCCTGTGCACTGGGCCGACGTCTCTGTCCTGGCCGTGATCTGCACTACAGTTATGTCAGATGCAACGCTGGGGAAGCCCAGGCGAAGGGGAGAAACCTCTATGATTTTTGCAACTTCCTGTGAATCTACAATTATTTCAAAATAAAAAGTTTAAAAATGAAAGGGAATGCGTTACATGAAGCCACACGCCCACCCTGCCCAACTTGAACGTGTTGTTAGATGCACTGAGCAATTTCAGGAATGTTCGAGATCCTGAATGTTTGTCATGAAACAAAGATCAATACTATTGGCCAGAAAAATTAATGCTTTGTGTGCTTTAAAAATTCCATTTTGAGAACAGCTTTTAAATATTAAATATTGATAGTAGTATCTTTCAATTTTATCATCATTTTTATTTAGCATTTATTCAATGTTTTCTGTCATCAGATGTCTGGATTAGGCAGAGAGCATTCTCACATGGCACTGAAACACACACTCTCATCAAAACACACAGTTTCATGATGGTAATGCGTCACGGATGGCATTTATTATACTGTTTTCTGGGGACAACCCCTGAAACTTTTTGTGTAATTCTATTGTAGGAAAGTGACTTACTGTTTATCACTACAGTCACTCAAATTTACACAAAAACACATAAACAAAGTCATATGAAAAATACAGAATACCTTATGATTTGAAGAATCCCCAAGAATTCTCAGGAATTCCAATTTGTTTGTTCTTGAAATCCTGAAGTTCAATAGCTGCCAGCAATTTGGAAGCACTGCCCAAGCCTCCCGACTGGACCGAGGGCGTCTTCCTCATGGCTATGCCTGCTCACCCAGCACTGCAGTGTCCCCAGGAAGCGGTGGAGCAGCCAGCACAGGCCCACTGGGCCACTGGAGCCCAAGGACAGCGAGGGCAGTGGGCCCTGCACCACGGGACACGCACGGCTCTGAATGAATGCTCTGACTTCTGGAGGCCTTCCCAGCACCAGGAGAGCCCCTGGAATCCTTGGGCTCATGTGCGAAAGAGCTAGCCAATGTGGAGGGACCGCGTGATGGAACCTCTCTGAATAACACAGGAAGCTGCCCAAATGAGTCAAGAGGCGTCTGAGTTGGAAGTGGCTTAAACACATTCCTAACGGATATGGCCATGGAGTCTTCTGTTCTGTGTCAGAAACTTCCCCCAGGCCAGAATCTTCTGAAGCCCACAGAAGATTCAGGGCAAATGCGGGGAGTTCACACCTGCTCTACTCCACACCTGCTCTACTCCACAGAGTGGATGGAAACCAGTATTGTCACCTGAGAGACACAGGCCCTCACAGGTGCTCTGTGACATGGGGGTGCTAAGCTACACGTGCAGAAGGGCCTGGAGGGAAGCAGCTCGGGGCTGCAGGCCGGTGGGTGGGCTCACCGATGGCGTGCAGGGCACGCTGGAGCTCCAGGGCAAAGGCGGGCAGCGGCACGTCCTCCGACACCGGCATGATGGCCACCGTGGCGAGGTTGCTGGCTGGGTTCCCCATGTCCCACTGGCTGCCTGCCATGGTGAGCCCGTGCTGGTGACCTGTGGGCACAAGCACAGGGAGGTCAGGCCCTCTGCACCCTGGAGAGAAACCCACAGAACATGGGCAGGACACAGCACCGCGGCACTGACATTTACACAAAGCTCCACCCTCAGCACCGCACTTGCCTGGAACTCCCCCAGACAGATTGCATCCTGGGTCATAAATCAAACTGACCGGAACTGAAATCACACACAAAATCCACAACGGATTTAAGCTAGAAATCCATAACCGAAAGACAGCAGGAATATTTGCAATTGTTTGAAAATTAAACAGCATGCTTCTAAGCAATTCATGGGTCAAAAAAGGAAGTCTCAAGGGATATTAGAAAATATTTTTTACTGAATGAAAATTAAAATATGGCACATAAAAAATGTGTGGTGCAGTTAAAGCAATTCTTAAAGGGAAATTTATAGTACCACTACAATGCTTACATCAGAAAAAAGAGATCTCAAGTAAAAACTCGAAACTTTCATCTGCAGAAATTTTTAAAAAGCAAAATAAGCCCAAAGCAAGCATAATAAAGAAAAACTAAGGAGCAGAAATAATGAAACTGAAGGCAAACAAATAATAGAGAAAATCAATGGAAAGATCAATAGTGTTGATAAACCTGTAGCAAGATTGGCAAGGCAAAAAGACACTAATTGCCAATTTCAGTAACAAAAAGCAGATATCATTGAAGACCCGACAGACATTGCAAGAATAATAACTGGCTTGTCAACGGGTTGCAAAGACTCTCCAGATCAAACTGGGAAGACTTGACGTGTCAACAACACTGAGTCTTCCAACCCATGGTCTATTTCTCCATTTATTTATATTTTCTTTCCAGTGTTTTATAGTTGTCCACATACAGACTTTGACGTATTTTGTTGGATTTATATGTAAGCTCTTTTTTTAAATTTTTTTAGTGCTATTGTAAATAGTATTGTTTTCTTAATTTCAAAACCCAATGGTTCATCACAGGCATTAGGAATACCATTGACCCTGTATGTTGGCCTTGCATCCTGAGACTTCAATAAACTCATTAGTTCCAGATTTTGGGAGATTGTTTAGAACTTTCTACATAGGCAATCATGTTGTCTGCTATTTATATAAAGCCAGTTTTATTTTCTCTTTTCCAGCTTGGATGCCTTTTACTTCTCTTCCCTGATTGCACTGCCTAGAACTTCCAGGGCCATGTTGAACGGAACGGTGAGAGAGGACATCCTGCCTTGGTGCTGATCTTAAGGCGAAAGTATGCATTAAGTTTGATGTTAGCTGTAGGTCTACTCCTGGTTTGCTGAGTTTTAATTATGAATGGGTGTTGAATTTTGTCAAATGCTTTTCTGCACATATTATTATGATCATATGGTTCTTCTTACTTGATTCATTAAGATTCATGAAGAGTTATATTGATTGATTTTTGAATGCTGAGCCAGCCTTGCACTCCTGGTATGAGGCCCAGTGGGCTGGAACGTGTTATCATTTTTATATACTGCTGAGTTTAATTTGCTAATATTTTGTTCTTTGTCGGGTTTTAGTATCACAGTAATGTTGGCTTTATAAAATCTTGTTATTGTTAGGTGCCATCAAGTAGGTTCCAACTCATAGTGACCCTGTGTACAAGAGAACGAAACCCTGCCCAGTCCTGCACCATCCTCACAATCGTTATGCTTGAGCCCATTGTTGCAGCCACTGTGTCAAATCCATCTTGTTGAGGATCTTCCTCTTTTTCACTGACCCCCTACTTAACCAAGCATGATATCCTTCTCCAGGGGCTAATCCCTCCTGATAACATGTCCAAAGTATATGAGATATAATCTCACCATCCTTGCTTCGAAAGAGCATTCTGGTTGTACTTCTTCTAAGTCAGATTAGTTTGTTCTTTTGGCAGTCCATGGTATATAGATTCGACATTCTTCGCCAACACCACAATTCAAAGGTGTCGATTCCTCTTCAGGCTTCCTATTCATCGTCCCGCTTTCACATGCATATGAGGCGACTGAAAACACGACGGCTTGGGTCGGGCGCACCTTAGTCTTCAAGGTGACATCTTTGGTTTTTAACACTTTAAAGAGGTCTTTTGCAGCAGATTTGCCCAATGCAATGTGTCGTTTGATTTCTTGACTGCTGCTTCCATGGGTGTTGACTGTGGATCCAAGTAAAATGAAATCCTTAACGACTTCAATATTTTCTCCGTTTATCATGGTGTTGCTTATTGGTCCAGTTGTGAGGATTTTTGTTTTATGTTGAGGTGTAATCCATACTGAAGGCTG